CTTCTTCTTCTTCTTCTTCTTCTTCTTCTTCTTCTTCTTCTTCTTCTTCTTCTTCTTCTTCTTCTTCTTCTTCTTCTTCTTCTTCTTCTTCTTCTTCTTCTTCTTCTTCTTCTTCTTCTTCTTCTTCTTCTTCTTCTTCTTCTTCTTCTTCTTCTTCTTCTTCTTCTTCTTCTTCTTCTTCTTCTTCTTCTTCTTCTTCTTCTTCTTCTTCTTCTTCTTCTTCTTCTTCTTCTTCTTCTTCTTCTTCTTCTTCTTCTTCTTCTTCTTCTTCTTCTTCTTCTTCTTCTTCTTCTTCTTCTTCTTCTTCTTCTTCTTCTTCTTCTTCTTCTTCTTCTTCTTCTTCTTCTTCTTTCCCTACTACTACTACTACTACTATTAATACTACTCCTACTACTACTACTACTACTTTTTTTAAGAAAAAGCAATTGAAGGAAGCAAGCAGCAATGAAAGACAGAAAGCAAAAATGAAAAGAAACAGCAGCTGATAAAAAGAAAGTAGCAGTAGGAGAAAATGCAGCAATGGAAAAAAAAAAGGAAGAGCAATGCAAAAACAAAGAGACCAACAATGATAGAAATAAGCAGCAATGTAAGGAGGCAGCAACGGCTGACTGACTGCATTTGGTGATTGTGGAATGATTGATTGTATACCAAGGACAAGGCCTCGCAAATAACTGCAGCAGCGGCAAGGCAAAGAATGCGGTTGTCAATTCTATCCAAATCCGATGAACTATGATGATGATGATGATTATTGAGAAGAATACATTCTTTTGTAATCGTCGTGAGAGCTACATAGAAAGAAATATTTGGTATTGCAACCTCTAGCTGATCTATGTCTTAAATAATATATGATGAGGCTTCTTCATCTTCTTCGAATGTACTTGCTGTAAAGTCAGACAGAAAGTTATGTTTGTTAGTCCACTTCTGGACTTTGATATTCTTCCAGAATTTGAGTTCTGTTTTACAAATCTGGCTTATTTGTATGCAGACTGTTGATTCATCGTCTTTCGGGAAGAGGGACTGCGACTTCTAAGGACACACCCCTAATTTGTCGCCTTTTACGACGTGCTTATTGTAGAGGGGTTAGAGAAACGGTGGTGCAAAATATTTTATTCTCGCAAACCTGGGTCCAGGATCCTACACGAGGAGGGGGCATAATGGTGCACCAGAAGGTCTGCCACTAGTCACTTCTTCGCGGTCATCATAGAAACAGGTTCTGTCTGACCAACGTAGACAGAAGGAAAACTGAAGTTGGAGGTGGGGGGGGGGGGTCGGGGTCTCCTAAGAGGCAAGAAAGCAACAGCCTCCACACTTTCTGAGAAGTGGACGAAAAAAACAGAAGATACGTTTACAGCAGGTGAACGTAAAGAAAACTGTTAGCATAATATAATTAGCTTTTAATGGCTGAACTGTTTTATTTTTCACTGTCCTTATCTTTTTAAAGTATCCATACAAACTGTTTTATTCAGTACTGGCATTTCCCCAAAAATTTGATTTATTGTAGATAACATGATATTTTATTTTACCTAGTTTGTCTCATATTTTCAGCCTCTTCTTTGCACAGTCTGACACCACACAGTACCATCCCTCCACGTCACAATCTGACACCGCACAGTATCATCACTCTACGTCACCACACAGTAATATCCCTCCACGTCACCATCTGACACCACACAGTATCATCTATCCACGTCACAGTCTGACACCACACAGTATCATCCCTCCACGTCACAGTCTGACACCGCACAGTATTATCCCTCCACGTCACAGTCTGACACCACACAGTATCATCCCTCCACGTCACCATCTGACACCACACAGTATCATCCCTCCACGTCACCATCTGACACCACACAGTATCATCCCTCCACGTCACAGTCTGACACCGCACAGTATCATCCCTCCACGTCACAGTCTGACACCACACAGTATTATCCCTCCACGTCACCATCTGACACCACAAAGTATCATCCCTCCACGTCACCATCTGACACCACACAGTATCATCCCTCCACATCACAGTCTGACACCGCACAGTATCATCCTTCCACGTCACCATCTGACACCATACAGTATCATCCCTTCACGTCACAGTCTGAACAACACATTATCATCTCTCCACGTCACAGTCTGACACCACACATCATAGTATCATCCATCATAGTGTTATGTCTGCCCAACACCTATACTGTAGTGTTATGTCTGCCCAACACCTATACTGTAGTGTTATGTCTGCTCAACACCTATACTGTAGTGTTATGTCTACCCAACACCTATACTGTATTGTTATGTCTGCCCAACACCTATACTGTATTGTTCTATAGCCCAACACCTATACTGTATTGTTATGTCTGCCCAACACCTATACTGTATTGTTATGTCTGCTCAACACCTATAGTGTTTTGTTATATCTGCTCAACACCTATACTGTATTGTTATGTCTGCCCAACACCTATACTGTATTGTTATGTCTGCCCAACACCTATACTGTAGTGTTATGTCTGCCCAACACCTATACTGTAGTGTTATGTCTGCCCAACACCTATACTGTAGTGTTATGTCTGCCCAACACCTATACTGTAATATTATGTCTGCCCAACACCTATATTGTATTGTTATGTCTGCCCAACAGCTATACTGTATTATTATGTCTGCTCAACAACTATACTGTATAGTTATGCCTGCTCAACACCTATACTGTATTGTTGTGTCTGCCCAACACCTATACTGTAGTGTTATGTCTGCCCAACACCTATACTGTATTGTTATATCTGCTCAACACCTATACTGTATTGTTATGTCTGCTCAACACCTATACTGTATTGTTATGTCTGCTCAACACCTATACTGTATTGTTATGTCTGCTCAACACCTATACTGTATTGTTATGTCTGCTCAACACCTATACTGTATTGTTATGTCTGCTCAACACCTATACTGTATTGTTATGTCTGCTCAACACCTATACTGTATTGTTATGTCTGCCCAACATCTATACTGTAATGTTATGTCTGCCTAACTCCTATACTGTATTGTTATGTCTGCCCAACACCTATACTGTATTGTTATGTCTGCCCAACACCTATACTGTATTGTTATGTCTGCCCAACACCTATATTGTATTGTTCTATAGCCCAACACCTATACTGTAGTGTTATGTCTGCTCAACACCTATACTGTATTGTTATGTCTGCCCAACACCTATAGTGTATTGTTATGTCTGCCCAACACCTATACTGTATTGTTATGTCTGCCCAACACCTATACTGTAGTGTTATGTCTGCCCAACACCTATACTGTAGTGTTATGTCTGCCCAACACCTATACTGTAGTGTTATGTCTGCTCAACACCTATACTGTATTGTTATGTCTGCCGAACACCTATACTGTAGTGTTATGTCTGCCCAACACCTATACTGTAGTGTTATGTCTGCCCAACACCTATACTGTAGTGTTATGTCTGCCCAACACCTATACTGTAGTGTTATGTCTGCTCAACACCTATACTGTATTGTTATGTCTGCCGAACACCTATACTGTAGTGTTATGTCTGCCCAACACCTATACTGTAGTGTTATGTCTGCCCAACACCTATACTGTATTGTTATGTCTGCCCAACACCTATACTGTATTGTTATGTCTGCCCAACACCTATACTGTAGTGTTATGTCTGCCCAACACCTATACTGTATTGTTATGTCTGCCCAACACCTATACTGTATTGTTATGTCTGTCCAACACATATACTGTATTGTTATGTCTGCTCAACAACTATACTCTACCGTTATGTCTGCCCAACACCTATACTGTATTGTTATGTCTGCCCAACACCTATTCTGTATTGTTATGTCTGCCCAACACCTATACTGTATTATTATGTCTGCTCAACAACTATACTGTATTGTTATGTCTGCCTAACACCTATACTGTATTGTTATGTCTGCTCAACAACTATACTCTACCGTTATGTCTGTCCAACATCTATTCTTCACTAAGTATTATGTTTTACTCTATTGTCTAGGCTTGCTGCTGGCGTCACTACAGATCTTACATTGAGAACCAACGAATCTTGAATTCCTTCAACAAAAGTCTGGAGCATGAGCAGAGAAAGATTGACCTCAGTAACCTCAAGGGATGGAGACTTCTACAGATGAAGCTCTGGTTGATTATGGACCACCCGAGAACTTCTAAGTTGGCAATGGTAAACTGCTTCAGCGCCTAAACGCTTGCCCTTGCATTTGGGGTATTTTTGTGTGGAAGAGATTCATGATATCCCCCAAGACAGCAATGTATGTACCCAACCCCTGCCTGCAATCTCCAGTGGAAAAAAAAAACGACAAGAATCTTTTGTAATTAAATGGGTGAAGTAAACATCAGAGAGCAGCTATTCAAAATAACGATAATTGCCTTGTTGTTAATGTCAAAAACTATATAAACACAAGATAAAATATAACTAAGAGGCTCCATAAAGGGAAACGGGAAAGCAGCACAAAGCTACAACCTGATAAACAAGTTGGAATTTACTGACTGGCACTCTATGATGTTGAGAACAGGAGTAGAGTTACCAGGGTACAGTCTTCATCGAATGCCCCGCCGACTATCATATCTCTCCACATCCTGCGATCTTTAGAGCTTGTATTATTTCATGTGTTGTCAACCCCAACCCCGTCCCCTTTTCCGACCCCATTTGCCCCCCCCCCTCCATTCCCCCCCCCCACCCGCACCCCCCACCCCCGAACCATGACAAAGGCTGACAAGAATCTTTCCACGTTGTCTTCCTAATATCTCCTTTCTTATAATTACAATATGATCTAGTTTCCATCTTCTCATAACGTGACCCAGAACATGATGACTGTCTCTTGCTGACGTTTACGGAAAGCTGTCTTTGGGCTGCTACTGTTTAAAAAACAAATGGGTTGCTTTTGTGACTGTCCACGAAATGTTCTGTAGAACATCTCTGAAGCCTTGGTAAACTGTTCAGCTACAACAGCGAACATAAGAGGCAAAAGCTTTAGTTGCCAAACAAGGAATCGAACCTCTCGCCTCAGGGTCACGACCTGTTTCTCTGCAGAAACAAATGAACTAGTAAGCTTGACCAATCAAATTCAACCGACTGTTTCTACAAAGTCAGTATCAAGAAGTAAACCATGTTCTATAGCATAATATTTATCGTGTTTTATTATGTCAGCTTGTCTGCTTTTGAAATTCACCCAACGATAGATATCATAACACTAAGTAAGCTGTAAAACTGCTTTTCTAACGCCTTATATTTCTCACACATCCCTTCAGCGTAGTCGCATATACTGTCAGTAGCGTTGACTTGACACGTAAGTTTTACAACCACGTCAGGGAAATGATAGCTTTTATCACATGCAGCTCGGTCACAATGGCCGCACTAACAACCGGACTACAGCAAGCTAACAACATATATTCCCATTATATTTTGAGTCGGACCTGGTTTAAAATCGTACCATGGACTCGACGACATTGTTTGGTTCGTCTGCTGGCCCGTGCTTATCGAGAGCTGATGAGGGGATGTTCCCGTTTGACATAACTCTTGTCAATAAAAGTCTTTATGTCTCTTGTAAGTAAAGGCTCCAGTTCCGCACCTTAGGGTGTACAGGGCATATTGTGCTAACTCCTTGTTTGTAGCCACCAGATTAGTGATGTCAATATCCCCTGACCGCCTTAACTTCATGGGACATTTTCTAGTACCAATTCAATGCTTAGCAGACATGGAAGATGAGTGATTTGAATCAAACTGCTTTAAATCGACTTGAACATGACCACCGAACAACTAGGCGAGTGAATTAGCTACTGAGCTACCAGTGTTTCTTTGTGTGTGTGTGTGTGTGTGTGTGTGTGTGTGTGCTAAATTGATCTTTATGTAAAATACTTTACTCGAAAACTTTCTTTGTTCTGCCACTACAACAGTACACATCTCTTCCACAGCTGTACGGCATCGCCTCTTTCCTTTTCGTGGCAGCATCTATCGCCGGATTTTGCCTGGAGACGTTGCCAGAACTCAGACCAAAAATCTCCCAGAACCGAACTCTGGCATCTTGTAACGGCGACACCAAACAGTTACATGTGGTCATGGCTTCCAACGAAGCCTTAAACGCTCTGGACTTCATATGTACAGTATTCTTCACCTTGGAGCTCGTCATGAGGTTTCTAGTTTCTCCATGGAAACTGAAATTCGTCAGGAATCCTATGAACATCATAGACTTGCTAGCGCTGGTCCCTCTCTACGTGCAGGTGATCTTTGAACAATCCGACCTGCAGTCTTGTTATATGAATGAACGCTTTGTTATAGAGATTATGTTCATTTTAAGGATTTTCCGCATGTTCCGTATCTTCCATCTGGTCAAACATTACCAAGCTCTGAAAGTTCTCGTCTACGCTCTAAGGGCAAGTCTTCAGGAACTCATGATGTTGTTCATCTTCCTGCTCATCGCAATGCTCATTTTCGCTACAATGATCTACTACGCTGAACGCACAGCCAGTGAAGAAGCCGGGACAAAGTTCACCACTATCCCTATTGGATTCTGGTGGGCCATTATCACCATGACAACCGTGGGGTATGGAGACGTGGCGCCCTCTACCCCAATAGGCTATATCGTGGGGACGGCTTGCGCTGTGTGCGGTGTCCTGCTGGTCGCTCTCACATTCCCAGTCATCTCCAACAACTTCACCCTTTTTTATGAACATGTTCGATCGAGATCTCTGTCGCCTCGAATCAAAACTATCTTAGTTCAGGCCGAGGCGACGGACAACGAAGAGGAAGGGACATTTCCTTCAGGTCAGCCGCCGGACTATGGTTCTGTGTCGCTGCAGATGCATTCTCTACAAGCCACAAACAAAAGTGTGGAGAATTCCCCTAATTTTAATCTCAATAAAGCTATGAATGGGAAGACAAAAACTTGGCCTCAGAACAAAGAGGGTGAGCCCAAAAAATCCTGCTATGTCCCACTTGCTAAATTCAGTGATACATCCTCCATGATGGATATCATTTTTCAGGAGCCCACGGATGAACTCTGTACAGTCAACTCGTTACCGAAGCACTAAGTGTGAGGTTGACGCACAGAGGTTAGGGTTTGAGGTGAAGCACTAAGTGTGGGGTTGAAGCACAGACGGTAGGGTTGAGGTGAAGCACTAAGTGTGGGGTTGAAGCACCGACGGTAGGGTTGAGGTGAAGCACTGTGTGTGGGGTTGAAGCGCTGAGTGTGGGGTTGAAGCACTGTGTGTGGGGTTGAAGTGCTGAGTGTGGGGTTGAAGCACTGTGTGTGGGGTTGAAGCGCTGAGTGTGGGATTGATCAGTGTATAGCTCATCATAGCCAGACTCACTGCTATAGTGTGAAGTTGAACAAATAGTGTATAGTTCGCTATATTCACGACTGAAACTGATCGCCGAAGTACTGAGTGTAAGGTTTAACAAATAGTGTAAAGTTCGCTATATTCACGACTGAAACTGATCGCCGAAGTACTGAGTGTAAGGTTTAACAAATAGTGAATATACTGTATTGGACTGACCGCTCCAGTTTATTTCTTAAGCTCTGATTGCAAGGTCCAAAAATGTGTCCATTGTCCAAACATATGTCTTCAACATGTAAGTGCAATAATGATACAGTGACAACCACCATTAATCTGGCAGCTGATGCACATGCGCTGACAAACATCTATTAAATTGTATACACGCGCCTGACCGTTCTTCCAAACGTTAAACTTACACAACGACAACATTCTGTTACCAGTAAATTCACTTGTGCACAAAGTAGAGTCACCAATTATCAACGTGTGCACATACATGTGACGTCCATCTATCAGGGCACACCCACACACAGAATGGACAGAGGTCTATCAACTTGTGCACATTATAACACACAGCCTGTCACGTACATGTGCACATTATAACACACAGCCTGTCACGTACATGTGCACATTATAACACAGCCTGTCACGTACATGTGCACATTATAACACACAGCCTGTCACGCACATGTGCACATTATAACACACAGCCTGTCACGCACATGTGCACCAATAACTGCTGTCCAAATTGCTCACTAAGTCCTCTCTCCAGTCTTCTGTCCATCTGTATGAATCCATCATCTTTCCTGCATTCCTGGAGTGTATAAACTTACTTGTTTTCAGGTTGTCATGAAGGGATCAGCAGTTGCATCTGACACCACATGGTAATCTACAACACACATATACAGGCACAAACAAACACACACACACACACACACACACACACTCACTCAGTTCGTAAAGCCAAGGAGCTGGGTTCGATTTCAGCTACCGGCGATTTGGCAGCAGAGCGCCTTGCGTTGGTATTGACAATGGTTTCAAGAGACAACCGTTAGTGGCAATGGCAATGCCTGTAGTTAAAAACATAAAATACAAACTGCTACATCCCACAAACACCGAAACTTTTTCTTTCTTTCATCTGGGTGTCACTAAACATTTTGGAAACCTGGCTGCTCGTAACGGCATGTTTAGTTTTGAATGCACGTCGTCTGGTAAGCCTTGGTTTTGAAGATATGATAAACAAGATGATTGCAATGGATGACCACTAGACACAGGTTAATGAGATTCCTAGTTCTCCACCTCGCTTGCTGATCCAGAGGATTCCAACAATAGCTTCGAGTCCTTATCTTCCATTCGTCCGTTTTAGAAAACAAAACTAGCTACAGCGATGATGAGTACTTTAAACAAGGTGTCTTTAGTTGTCTCCTCCACACAAATATACACACACACACACACAGACACGAATACAGACACACAGACACGGACACAGACACACGAATACAGACACACAGACACGGACACAGACACATGATTTCGGGACAGTGGGAGAACTGATGTCAGCCACAGTAACCACTGGAAAACTTGATCACAAAAGAGTAACCAGGAGACAGATCAGTGCTTCCGGACAGATTGAACACATGGCACATAAACAAGGACGCTTTCTAGATTGCTCATCGTCTGAAGCGGTGAGCTCTGGTGATCCAAAACATATCAGCTTCAAATATGACGATGAGGAAATATTTCATAGGATTTGTAACCGTTTAATTCCTTTTAACTAATGTAATTGTTCGTAAATTGCTAGTGTATGAACCTTGTTTTTTTTTTTTTTTTACATTGTAGTTCTTGTAGGTTTTTTAAATCATAAATATAATGGTGATGAAGATGACGAAGGTAACGATAATGATGAAGATGAGATGTTTTGTAGGACATTTTTTTTAATTGTTATGACTTTTGAAATTATATAATTATTCTGACATTGATGATATACAAACAATGATACTCCCAGATTGTAGCGGCGTGTAGTATTGACTGTTTATTAATCCATGATGACTTACATTGAGTAGTATCTATCTATCTATCTATCTATCTATCTATCTATCTATCTATCTATCTATCTATCTATCTATCTATCTATCTATCTATCTATCTATCTATCTATCTATCTATCTATCTATCTATCTATCTATCTATCTATCTATCTATCTATCTATCTATCTATCTATCTATCTATCTATCTATCTATCTATCTATCTATCTATCTATCTATCTATCTATCTATCTATCTATCTATCTATCTATCTATCTATCTATCTATCTATCTATCTATCTATCTATCTATCTATCTATCTATCTATCTATCTATCTATCTATCTATCTATCTATCTATCTATCTATCTATCTATCTATCTATCTATCTATCTATCTATCTGTCTATCTGTCTGTCTGTCTGTCTGTCTGTCTGTCTGTCTGTCTAATCTATCTTATCTATCTTATCTATCTTATCTATCTTATCTATCTTATCTATCTTATCTATCTTATCTTATCTATCTATCTATCTATCTATCTATCTATCTATCTATCTATCTATCTATCTATCTATCTATCTATCTATCTATCTATCTATCTATCTATCTATCTATCTATCTATCTATCTATCTATCTATCTATCTATCTATCTATCTATCTATCTATCTATCTATCTATCTATCTATCTATCTATCTATCTATCTATCTATCTATCTATCTATCTATCTATCTATCTATCTATCTATCTATCTATCTATCTATCTATCTATCTATCTATCTATCTATCTATCTATCTATCTATCTATCTATCTATCTATCTATACATCTATCTATCTATCTATCTATCCAATCTATCTATCCAATCTATCTATCCAATCTATCTATCCAATCTATCTATCCAATCTATCTAATCTATCTAATCTATCTATCTATCTATCTATCTATCTATCTATCTATCTATCTATCTATCTATCTATCTATCTATCTATCTATCTATCTATCTATCTATCTATCTATCTATCTATCTATCTATCTATCTATCTATCTATCTATCTATCTATCTATCTATCTATCTATCTATCTATCTATCTATCTATCTATCTATCTATCTATCTATCTATCTATCTATCTATCTATCTATCTATCTATCTATCTATCTATCTATCTATCTATCTATCTATCTATCTATCTATCTATCTATCTATCTATCTATCTATCTATCTATCTATCTGTCTGTCTGTCTGTCTGTCTGTCTGTCTATCTATCTATCTATCTATCTATCTATCTATCTATCTATCTATCTATCTATCTATCTATCTATCTATCTATCTATCTATCTATCTATCTATCTATCCCTCTATCTTTTCCCTCTTTAAAAAAAATGCCACTTCAAAGCAAGTAACTTCTTGCTCTCAAATATTTGAATATCAAAACCATGTTTCGGCTGGAATTAAACTAACATTCTGATAGAATAAGCTTATACTACAACTATCTGTCACAAACAAAAAGTCACAGCCGTGTGTGTATGTGAAACATCTCATCCTGGAAGAAACAATGAAATCAAGATTAGATGTTTGGTAAAAGTAGAGTGAAACTGGTCAGCCGCGCCCTGTTATTCTCATCTTGTGTGGTTGTACCCATTGTTCATGATTAGTTAAAGCATTGAAATATTGACGATGACATCGATATGACGATGATGATGATGTGTTTCATAGGAGATGTTAACGATCCATGTGCTAGTCAACTACGGCAACTAAATGAAGCATATAAACGAGGTTACTATTGCAGCATCAAGTATCGATTGTTTGTGAACGCACACAACACATGTAAAGCTTAGATACAACAGATGGAGGGGGTGCGCATAAGCTGTGCTAACGTCTGCAACTTAAAATCTCTAACTCTACCGATAAATAGATTTACAGGAGTTTAAAATAATCTGTTACTGTTTAAACATCGACAATTTCTTCATCGATCAACGAGAACGTCACAATATGCACATATCTCTACTGTTGTGTTTTAGTGATAGCTGAATATCGTTGTGTTTTGTCGTTTTGTTTTTCTTCCAAAAGTATGGCTGTTAGTTAACTGTTCCATGTTTTAGCATCGCTTTTTCATTTGAGTAGTGTTTATTGAGCTGGCGTTTCTCTCAGTGTGGTTGTCAACACTAGAATCTGACAGTCAATACCGCGTTGTGTTTTACTGTGAGCCAAGTAGTTAATTCATTGTTACTCAAATACAGTAAAGAGTCCTTTCCACGCCTTCGGGTGTATTAGACTTATAGGGCTAGACGGTGCTTTAATAATAACCTACCCCCAGATGACGTCACAGGACAGTCCAACATTTTAGAGGGTTTCCCGGCTTTCTGGTGCTTTTAACGACCCCAATACATCTAAACTAGCACTAACGCCAACCCACCTACGTCCCACGAGAGAGTGCAGACTAGGTCCCACAAGTGCATGCAACCCATGTCCCACGACTGCATGCAACCTAGGTCCCACTACTGCATGCAGCCTAGGTGCCACAACTGCATGCAACCTAGGTCCCACACCTGCATGCAACCTAGGTCCCACGACTGCATGCAACCTAGGTCCCACGACTGCATGCAACCTAGGTCCCACGACTGCATGCAGCCTAGATCCCACGACTGCATGCAACCTAGGTCCCACGATTGCATGCAGCCTAGGTCCTACGACTGCATGCAGCCTATCTACCACCCCCTGAAATATTAGACTGTCTAATAACCTGTGGATTTCCCCTGTTTGGGGTAGGATATTAATAAAGCATTGGCTAGACTTCTACTTTATAGGAACTCGGTGGGTTATGTGGTCAACATCACCCCCACCGCCTTCATTGTCCTTGACTTTTACCTGGTACCCATTTAAGGCTGATTGGACTTGGGAGTCTAAGTCATGTTTTTGAAAAAAAAAGCCTGCGTTCAGATTTGAACTTACGACCCTATGATCGGCAGTCGAGCGTCTAGTCGCTACACAACGGCAGTTCCTATATACTCAGGTGCTGTCTGCATGATCAAGATTAGCTGCAATAGATTTCCAACAGGCTGTCTTTTCTCCTGGAGAAACACTGTCTGAAACTGCTGTTCATCTGTCTTGAGATGTTCTCTTCCCATTTGTAGCGCTGACTGGCTCTTGCTCGCCTTGCTTCAATGT